AGAGAGAGAGAGAGAGAGAGAGAGAGAGAGAGAGAGAGAGAGAGTTACTTTTCATGGTAATAGATTACTATTAGATAAAGAGGTTAAAATTTTTGAAGATCTTTTTTTGAACACGGTTTGACTTTTTTATTTTTTAGGTTTAAATTTTTGAGGATCTTTTTTTAAACATGGCTTGAGCTATTCATTTTTATGATATAATTTTTTTAGGATATCACTTACTTTTTAGAGCACAGATATATCATAAATACATATTAAAAAATTATTTAAAATATTGTATTATAATCCATATTACTTTGGTTTCGTTCCACAGTGACGTAACTTAAAATTCAACTGGTAATGCGAATCACATTTTGATAATATTTTGGCGAAATTTAGTTTTCATCATGAAGAATCATTTAACGTATTGCACATGTCACGAAAATGATTTTTAATACATTTATCTTAATAATAGAAAAAAGAAAAAAGTGCAATAAAAAATTATAATATTTGGAAATTTAGATTAAAAATTTGTACAATAAATCTATTTTTAAGATTATCTTAAGTTTTAATATAGTAATCAATTATAGCGCTTCGTAAAGCAAACGTGAGCTACGGAATTGGAACTTCGTTTTAATGAAATTATAGAGACTATGCGGCTTCGTAGTCTACTGTTAATGTACTATTAATTACATAACTGTCAACTGATCTAATATTTTTTTATGTCGTATTTTTAATTCAACTTGTACTTTAAATTTAATTAATCTCGATCACAAACGAAACTTCATCTAATCTTATGGAGGAAATCATCTGAAAAAAAATCAATATTGAAACTATAAACATAAATATGATTTGACAAAGTGGTATCATTATATTTAATGTCTTTTTAATTATTATTTTACACAACTATTACAAAGCTATAAAAGTATAAATATTAACACGAGACAACAAAAAGTAATAACATTGTATAAATCTCATAGAATTCACTAATAATGGATACTAAGCAATATTCAAAGAATCCAGAATAGAAGCATCTATTTATAGATTATTAATTTGCTCAACAAATTTGCTTTTCTAGAATGTCTAAAGTCAAGAATGCTTCGGTCTTTGGTGATAATTTGACAGCAGTCGAAGCTATCTCGACGAAATTAGCGGAAGTTACGCATCTCGCGGAAAAACTGGATGCGAGACTATGTGAAGCTGGAGCTAGAACTCGACCGATGTCTATTCCTGCCGTTGTGACGTCCTCTTCTTCGTCCTTGCTCTCAATATCTACTATGTCGCCATCAAACGAATCCATGCATACGGCTTCTAACACGACTACATTGACATCGAGCATGACAGCTTCAACCGTGTCTGTAATCGCTGAAATGTATCCAATAACTTCGGAAACTGTAACTACAAGAATCAAATCTGATGTAATTAAATCCATTACTTCTACATCCGAAAAATTAGATGACAGTTCATTTCATATTCGTTCGCAATCCGTGGAGAATGTCGAAGTATCAAATAAAGATTTTAATTCTAAGGTATATTTTAACATGTTTTAATATTAATTTATAAATATTTTTTTCCGTTCTCTCTTACAATTAGACAATATTTTAAAACATTCTAAAAATATTTCCATCTTTTTTATGTTTATAGGAACTTATTGAAAATTTTCGTAGCGAAAGTGCAATAGGAGAATACAATATAGAGGGTTATACAACAGCGACTGAATGTTCAACAACTCCACCTTCGCATTCGAGAAGCGAATCTTTCGTAACATCGCCGGAATGCGAAGATCTTTCTATCATTGCACCTATGGTGACATATTCTGGTTCCACTTGGTATCTATTAACTTTAATCACTTTTAGTAAAGTAAAACTTGAATGCATTTTATTGATTTTTTATTGATATTTATTTAATAAAATCACACATAAAATATCAATTAAAATTAATAAAATGTGTATCTATTTTCAACATATACAGCAACAAAATCTTTTATTAATTCATAAAATTGCAAACATTTAAAGGTGGATTATGGAAAAGCCTAAATTAATAACTACAGTTGCACCTCTTACTTCTCCAACAAATGAAAATAAAAAATTACCCGAAACACCAGATTTTTCAATTGCCAGCGGAGTAAACCCAACAACACGAACGAAAGCAATGGATAAAATAACTAATGTATGTTATATAATTCAGTTAGTAAACTAATTCTCAAAGGAAAACTATATATAACTATATACTTTTTAAAAGGCTTTTACTTCAATTGCTTCAATTTTCATTTTTTTAATATCGTATCAAGCAGCATAAATATTTTAATTATTGCACTTTAATTATTACACAAAGTATCACAAGTTATGATTTGTTTGTGTAGGAAAAGTCAAACAATATTATAAAAGAAGTTACTGAGACAACTATTTTGCGTGTTTTGCACGACATTCGATTAGGTGTAGCCTCTTATAAAGTGATATCAAATACTGTGCAAGATCATCGGCAATATATCGACGTGAAAGATATCCAAAATGTGGAAGATGTGCTAGAAGTAGAATCGCGCGAAAAAGTAGATGATATTCACCACCATCTTGATTTATCTCCGTTCAGTTAGTATTTTATAATTCGAAAATAATATATAAATTATATAATCTTTATGATCTTAATACTCCTTGTATACACATACATTATAGTATATATATAATAATATAATACATTTATCTATAGTAATGAAAAATAATGAACACTTATTATTATATATATATATATTTATTCTTTATAATTAAATTATTTTTAATAGAAGAATTTAATAGAAGAATCTAAAAATTATACTAGTAATAATTTTAATGTACTAGTAAATAATAATAAATAAATAAGTAAAGGACTCTTATTCTCAAACATAAATAGAAACTAAAAAGACAAATTAAGAGTCAAACATTAAAAATTTCTTTAATCACATAGTAAAAAGATAAAATAAATTAATATAAATTAACATGAAAAACAAGATTAAATACGAAGATATAAAAATATACATGAATATGAAAAAACAAGAACAAACTTAATACAAAAATAAAAAAAAACGGCTTAATCATAAAATCTATAAAACTTTACATGTTTCGACTCGTAGATTGAGTCTTCTTCAGAAGTAACCAAACGAAAAAACATCGTATAGATAAATCATTGGTGAAATAATGATGCATCCGACATCAAGGTAAGGAATTTATTATAAGCGATTGGTAGATCGATAATAAATCTATAAAAGAATTAAGACATTAACTTTATATGAACAATAGGAAAAATTATAACAATATTAATAAACCATATGAACAATAGGAACATTAGGAAAAATGAACAATAGGAAACAATAGGAAAACATGTAAGTTTTATAGATTTTATGATTAAGCCGTTTTTTTTTATTTTTGTATTAAGTTTGTTCTTGTTTTTTCATATTCATGTATATTTTTATATCTTCGTATTTAATCTTGTTTTTCATGTTAATTTATATTAATTTATTTTATCTTTTTACTATGTGATTAAAGAAATTTTTAATGTTTGACTCTTAATTTGTCTTTTTAGTTTCTATTTATGTACTAGTAAAGTTCGAAAAAAGAGCAATCAAATGAAGATAATACAAGCATCCGAGAACATGTGTTGAATAAAAGCATGTGCTCTAATTTAAGAACAAATGAAGATATACCGCTGTCTTCGCAAAATTTTTTACGACATGAAGATAGCGAAATTAAAATGTAGTCGAGAATGATAATTTAAAAGATGAAGAGTTTCTTGAAAGAACAAGAAAGATAAGTTTACAAGTGTAACTTTGACAAAGCTACTATCTATCTTCGATCAGCGTTTAATCGACTTTTTTAAATTCTTTATTGTATTTTTTAATGTACTAGTTGCTTAATGTATTTAGATTCTTAATGTATTTTCAATTCTCATTCATTTAAATGTGTTTAAATTTTATTCCTTTATTAGTGCACAATATATACACTGTCTATCTAACACTTAACAGTAAAAAAATATTTGCAGCTTTGATGAAGACAAATTTTATATAAAGAATTTAATAAAAACTAATATTAATAGTATAAGTTTCACGATTTTGATTGATTAAAAAAAAAAGATATTTATATGTTGAAAATATTATATGTATCACATGTACATATACTTGGCAGGATTGAATAAATTAAGAATTGTTATAACTGCGTATTTGTTAGGCTTCGTTGCCTGTAACTTTATTACAACATAACACAAATAAAATTTTAATATAATATATATATATCAGGAGACGCGGTAGTGTCTCCGGCCATGTTCATATACATATTATCGTGGATATTTATGAATTTAGTGTGTATTGCATAACATTTGTTATTTGTGTAAATAAATGATGTTTAAAAAAAATTATAATTCTTAACATAATAAAATTCAATTTAAAATATACTGATTATCTATTACGTCTAAAGATTTTTTTCGACCGACAATTCCATTTTCAAAACTACTGCCCTGCGCAAGTTTGCAATTTTGCTATACACCGTGTTCGACGAGTGCAACAATGGTGAGCGGCAGGCAGCCGGCCGGAGGCTAACCGGAGTCCGGACTGGCCGGAGGCCGTACTGCGCTGTGTCGGTTCAGTCTTAGTTCGGCTGGTTACTGCAACCAACCGGCTGGTGACGTGATACACTCGTGACATGTGTCACACAAGTGTTACTGCCGTTATTGTCGTCATTCTTACTAATACCGCTTAAACGCGAATCGAATTTAGGTGATTATTATACTGTGCCAAGTAAAAATTATAATAAACATTTTATATAAGTAAAAAATATAATTTGATGCATCGCATATCAAAATCGCATATTAAAATATTGAAAACCTTTGTCTATTAAAAGAGATGAAATAAAGTTTTTTCAGTCTTTTTAACTTAAACTATATAGAAATGTACAAAAGCCTATTAATTTAATTATAAAAAATTAACAAAAATTCATAATTATGCATTAAATGTCAAAATGTGCAAATTTATACTATAATTGCTGGTTATATATATATTAATTAGGAAATTATTTAAAAATATGAAAAATCAATCAAATTATTTGCAAATAATTAAATAGTCTTCTGATGTAACGGAAGAAATCATTTATCTCTCCCTAATAAAGTAATATATAAAATACTTTTTGTAATATTGATTGATATTTCTATCGGATCATCTTTGATTACACATGTTTTTCACCATACGTTACTTGTTGAAAGAGCGCTACCAGTCAGTCCGGTTTTATTCTACCATTTATTCATTTCTGCAGATGACGTCATCGTACACACAAATATATTTACTTAACATATTAATATGTTGTATCAAAAAGGGAAAACATAAATATTACTGTATGCCAGCATAATGTCAATTCGAGATTGTGACTGTAAATTAATAAATTGTTGAAAGATTATTTCTTTTCACGTAGAAGAAATATCCTAACTTTGATTAGAATTTAAATTTTTTTACATTTTTGTTTAAAAAAATTAGTGCAAATTAAAGAGATAAGACAATATTAAAAAAATATTAAGTTGCAAAAAACTTTTGTCAGTTATATCTTTGATTTGTCTATATTTGCATCATAGACATAATCATTTTTAGTTTTACATTTACGGACTTTTCGTGCTAGTATCTTTGGCAAAGTGTCAAAAATAACGTCAATCAAGGGGAAAAGGGGAGGGAGAGGGAGAGGGGAGAGAGAGAGAGAGAGAGAGAGAGAGAGAGAGAGAGAGAGAGAGAGAGAAGAGAGAGAGAGAGAGAGAGAGAGAAAATTGCGTCAACTCGAAAACATGTTAATACATTTTTTATTTATAAAATCTTTGAGAACTAGATGTTTATTGTGTCACGTTTTAGATCGAAGTACGTACGTCACTGTAATATATTTAGCATCAGGCATTGAAATCACTGTGTATGTTTGGCCCAATTGTATTATATCACTATTGACTATAACATTATTTTAATTTTCAGCAACTATATTGTCACAACTATTGCTTAATTCATAGTATATATAAATATCGAGTGAGTGTTTCATAACGTAATTATGTCGCGAATATAATTGTCCGTTTTTATTCTGCTAACACGAATCTGAAACGTTTTGATTATCACATGGAAGATAAAATTAACGATGATGATTGATGGTCCTGACTTGATGGCACACGTACATCCCGAAAGATCTGTTGAGATGAATTCCGAAATTGTGATGCAAAGAAATGAAGATACGTCACAACAAATCATCTCCCCGACTACTACTATAAGTACCATAGCTGTGCAAAGTGGAGAAATGCGTGTAGTAATCGCTTTACTTCAAGTAAGAAACATGTATTGCATTTCAATCTATAATAATTCATATTTCTTATTGTTATTTTTTTTGTTCTGTCAACTCAAATCATTTTATTTAAAAATTTTAGAAAAGTTTATATTTAGTTTAACTTAATCTAAACATCGTACACATTTTGTTCTAATTGAGCTGTGTAAAAAGCTTTACTTTATACATTACTTGAACATCTTTCTAGAAATAAAATATTAAGTATGGTTATTTCATTTGAACAATTTTTAGTAAAAAATTATCTTCCATTGCAATTTCATATATGACACTATGATGTAGGTATTTCGGGATTCGGTTGCTTCGGTCTATAGCTATTTCTGAATCCTCTCGAACCGTAAACGTTTTAGGTATCCGCTAAACAAAACGAATATCCCGAAACTCTACGAAGGATAAATTTAACTATTATAGGTACAGTAACTCCCATTACACACCACCATGATCAGATAAACCCATCTTATGTATATTACGTTGGATTCTGAAGTATTGAGGCACTTGATCGCACAATCCATTCAAGAGTTACATTTTAAGTTTTATTATTGATTATAAATTTTTATTACTTTAAATATTTATTAAAAGAAGAAGGCCGAAAAATAAAACAAATAAAACAAAACTTTTTAATGTTTAAAATTATATATATATATATATATTAGAGTAAACCAAAAATTTTTTTGAAAATCGATTAGCAATACCCTCAAAAGTTAACTATGGACCAGGGAATGGAAGTAACTCGTTACTTGTAACAAAGTTACAGTTACAAGTTACTTTTTTGGTAACTTTACTGATAACCACGTTACTTTCTTTTTTTGGTAACTGTAACAGTAACGTAGTTACATTTTTTGGATAACGGTAACGAAATTTACAGTTACTTTTATCGTTACTTTGCATACAATTGGACATTGGTTATTCTGTTATATAACAATTACACGTTATTAATTACGACAGTTATAAATGTGGTTGTACATTGAGTGTTTTTATTTGATACAGGCGTACAAGCTATATTTAGTTTAACTTAATCTAAACATCGTACACATTTTGTTCTAATTGAGCTGTGTAAAAAGCTTTACTTTATACATTTCTGCGTACATTTATGTTGAGCAATTGGAAAACACCTCTTTTTGCAAAACTTCTGTTATATATTTTAATTATAGCGTTATAATTTAATTTCTATCAAAATATTTGATTTACAGCTAAAAGTATAGATTAAGTAAAAATATATTATAGCTATATTATAATAAAGAGATTATGTGTATTTTTTAATTTTCCTTTTAATTTCTAACTTATATTATAATTCAGATAGTCCTATACAATCTAATATAATCTTTTAGTTTTCTACAAAATATAAAAAAATTCCTGAAATATTTTAGCTGTCAACTGCTGTAGCGATCCTGAAGTGATCTTTAACAGCTGAGAAATATATACAGTACCATTATTTCAGGTATTTTTTGCATTTTTAACTTCTATGTGATACATCGAACATATGTATATCTCAGTTTGTTGCATATTTTACAGGTTTTAGAATTATGAAATTGTGTTTAAAAAAAACTAAAAAATAAAACTATAGTGTCTCAGTGTTATACATGCTACATATATATATTGTTTTTATTAACGTTTAAACACAAAATACTGCGAAAAACACAAAAGTACTTTTTTAGATTAATTTTTAAAAAGTAACGGAAAAGTTACTTTTCGAGTAACGATATTTGTAACGAGTTACTTTTAAAAAGCGATAACTAGTAACGGCGGTAACTTGTTACTTTTTTTACTCGGTAACGAGTAACTGTAATTTGTGACTTTTAAAACATAACTTCCCATTCCTTGCTATAGACCTCAATATAATCTGAATAAAATTTCACCGAAATCACTTAATATCTTTAGGATGCTCCTCAACCTTGTAATTTGTAACTTTATGCATTTCTTAGATGTGTTAAAATTCGAAAAAGTATTTGAATTTTAATACAATTTGGTACTACCCGTTTTTTTTATCGCTGAACGCGAATCCGAGGTCAGAAATACACATTTCGTACCAGATTATATTGAGGTCTTTGAAGTAATATTAACTTTTGGAGGGTATTGTTAATCGATTTTTAAAAAAAATTGTTTTTCGGCCTACTCTGATATATATATATATATATATATAATATACCTATAATTATTATATATATATATATACATATAATTTTATAGACTTTGAAAGAAGAAAAAACCATGCATAAATTTTTATCTTAATATAAATTATTAATTTAAATTACATACTAAACTGTATAACTGATTTTACAAAATTAATTTATAAGTAGATTGAATAACTGGTAAATTCTTATCGAAGTAAGAGAGATCTCTCGTAGCATGGATCCGCATACTCTCGTATAATCTAACAAACCAGTATTATATACATATACACACGTATACATATATACAAAACTACTCGAGGCAGTTTGGGCCCAATCTGGCCCGGCTCAATGGTGGACGAGTGACATGATTCTTCCTTTCACCGTACCTTCGCTTATATCATACCTACAATCTAATAATTAATAGTACTTCGTCTGAAATAAGAGGGAAAATGTTCAATAGAGATTCTTAGACATGCCATAAACATATCCTTATAATGCAATCACTAACATCGTCAAGAATGAACCAAGTATATTATAGTGTACATGTGTGTGGTATCAGATAATTTTCCATAAATAACACTTAAGAAAATGAAACAATTAACATAATTAATCCAATTATTTTTATTACTCATATAATCTTTTCTACTTATACTCCAACCATAAATCACAAATGACATCTTTTTTTTCTAATAATACGATATAACATACTTGTCAAGTTTTTAATAAATATATTGAGTATTTGCTAATTTTGTTAGTTATTCTTTAAAAAGGTAATCATGAAATTATACATCTTTTTCGTCTAATAAAGCTTAAAAAAAGAAATCATTTTATCGCTCAAATAGCGATATACGTATACCAGAAGAGAGAATTGGTTAATCTAAACGCAGTTATTAAGAAAATGAAACAATTAACATAATTAATCCAATTATTTTTATTACTCATATAATCTTTTCTACTTATACTCCAACCATAAATCACAAATGACATCTTTTTTTTCTAATAATACGATATAACATACTTGTCAAGTTTTTAATAAATATATTGAGTATTTGCTAATTTTGTTAGTTATTCTTTAAAAAGGTAATCATGAAATTATACATCTTTTTCGTCTAATAAAGCTTAAAAAAAGAAATCATTTTATCGCTCAAATAGCAATATACGTATACCAGAAGAGAGAATTGGTTAATCTAAACGCAGTTATTCGGCAGTATGCCAAAGATGAAAATGGAAGCATATCTTGCTTCTTTCTGCATTCCAACCTCACGAGGTTAATGAACTCTAGAGGGCTGAGTTTCGTCTACACTCGTTTTTTACTTTCTATCTCTTTTTTTAATAATGCTAAAAAAAAGATCTCTGTTCTGATTTTGATTTTCAACATTATATATAATATGTGACTGCTAGATAATTCTAAAATTTATTTAAGAGTTAAAATAATCTTTATATTGTGGTATAAGCATGCGAACATTTTTTTGAGATTTTTTTGAGAAGCGGAATAGATTGTGATCATTGATTGAGAATTAGATTGAATAAGTATTGTTAAATTACAACTAACATTATGACTCTATTGCCTTTATACCAATGTACAATTTTAAATACATAGGTTATTTTATATTTTTTTGATTTGAGATTTTTGTTATTGATTACATTCTACAATTATTTAAAATAATGAATACAATATTTAAGTAATTGCGAAAATAATTATCCCACGGAGAATGTGCATGTTTAATAATATTCATATTTATGCCATGTCGTTTATATAGTTGGAAGATCTGACAGTTTATTTTATCATTATATTACATCGCTTTATAATCGTTTCTCTGTCAGAGTGGCGAATGTCTGAAGCTGAAAATACTCGAGCTACAACCAGAATTAACGAAACTTGGTGCTTCCGTAAAAGAAGCCATGGAACTTTCGAACGCACACGATCAAGTGTTACTTCGATTACAGGTAAAATAAACATATCAAAATAAATTTCGAATTGTGTAAAGGTTTATATTAAATATAATTATAAATAGAAGTGCAGCTTAAGATCGTTAATTAAAACTTTGTTATAATTAGAATAAACAAAGTCCGGTGGAAGAATTATTGCGACAAGCTGATCAATTAATCACAACCCAGAAACCAAGAGCAGAAGTATATACTACCATGGCAGAAACATTAGGTCAGGCATGGCACGATATAAATCAACTTTTAGAACGTCGTAAGAAAATATCTGACCGAAACGTATTATTTCAATGGTACAGCAAAGTGTAATTTAATCATATATTTATGCTTTGAATTAATTATTTAACAAAATAGATTTCATTCTTTTATAGTCGCACGGCAGAATGTTGGGAATGTATGGAGGCGTTAGAAATGGCATGTAACAACACATTACTACCGATTGAGATAGAAGCAGTAAAAAATTGTCTATCAAAGATTCAGGATCTTCGCAAAGATATGTTGGAAGCATTGATGGGTGCATTGCGGGAGAGTAAAACATTATTGGATGAATTTAAGGAATTAGTAAACGAAGGCACTTTGGATTCTAGATCGGATACGATTAAAGATGAAGCTAATCATGGTATGTCAAATTGTTTATTCAGTATCTATATTTAATTATTTGCTTATCTATTTAGTTAGATTGCTGTCTTCTAGGTATCGATCATGAAACTTTTTCCCTAGGATGAAAAGTAAGAAGTGAAAATTTTTACCATTGAAGTTAATGGAGAAATTTTTCACTTTTCACTTTTCATCCTAGGGAAAAAGTTTCATGATCGATACCAAGATTAAAATTTTTATGATAAAAAAATATCATATTCCATTATAGCCGTGTTACGAGTTGAAAAATGGCTGGAAGAACTACACGATAGAAGAAAGCTGATCGAGACATTTTTTCGTAATAGAAAAATTCAATTGGAGCAATGTCTTGCTCTCGCGATGCTTGCGACTGATCTTCGTAACGTCGAAGAAATTCTCAATGATAGAATCGCTGCATTAGAAGGCAGTTGCAATCAACTGGGAGATTCTGTATCTAATGCAGAACTGCTTCTTTTTGAATTAAAAAAGTTGCAAATCGAAGCAAAGGTATTCGAACAGAAATCAATTTAACTAATGTTATCAAATGTATGTACATATTATAATTAAATATGTTTATTGTTCTGTGTGTGTGATCTTCTATATATGTTTTATAAATATATATATATGTATATATAATATATATAACTATACAGAGTAATGCGCTTTTTAAAAAAAAACTCAATGTTTTCTAGGAGTTTCAAGATAAAGCTATTAAAATAACTAAATCGACCGAACGATTAGTGTCATCGGGACACTTTGCAGGCGAACAAGCGACTAAACAGGCGTTTGCGATTCTCAGCACAGCTACCGATTATATTAACAATTTAGATCAGTATAACATGTTATTGAATAAAACAATGGCTTTTTTCGATTTGGCACAATCGGTGAGCATATTTCTAAGTTTTTAATTATCTATAGTAAACTAATCAGTAAACATATATATTATATAACGTTTTATAATTTAATCAAATCGCTTATATCCTATATTCACCCGCATAAAAAATGAACCTCTGTAACTAGAGACCATCCAATAACAGTCTGAACACAGTTTTGTATATGCAGAGTAGTATTTTTAATAAAAAATCTATGACAAGAAGATTTTTCGGGTGAATATATTTAAACCTGATTACTAATATTAATTAATACATTAGGCTATCATAAAACTGGACCAATTTGAAATTCAGTTAATAACCACGGAACATCCTTATTCTACACGACTCGCACGTCTTCATGCACAGATACTAGCTATGATAGAAAACGTAATTTCAAAGCCATTGTCAGAAGGATATGCATTACTAGACATCACAGGAAGAGAAGCACCTGGTGCAGAGGTCAGATTAATCAATTAATTAATCACTATGTGTACAAATTAATTCTCGGCCTCTATCTTTCAGTGACTTCAGAATCCGTTTAAGTTAAATTGCCCCCCCCCCCCTCTGTAGTCAATTTAAAGTGCCATCTTTTAGGTTTAGAATGAGATACAATATTTGATCCTCCTGAAAAATCAGCAGTAAACACGATGTCATTCAAAAAACAATATTTGAGGCACTACCTTCTTTTTGCGTTTCAACTTAAAAAAAAAAAAAAAACGCAGCTAAAGGCAAAAGCTGCATACAGCAAAAAACATTTTGGAAACCATATCCGATTCAGGCTGGGAAATTCTCCCTCATGCTGCGTATTCTCCAGACTTAGCCCCTTCGGATTATCACCTATTTCGAGCCCTACTGATTATCGATTCAAGTCAGTTCAAGAGGTCGAAAAAACCTTGATGAATTCGTTAATTCAAAGCCACCATCATTTTTCCGATTTGGAATCCGGTAATTGTCTGAGAGATGGAAAAAATGAATATAAATAACGAGGGACATTACTTTGAAGATTGAGTTTGTCATTCATGTTTTTATAAATAAATGTCGAAGTTGGTCAAAAAAGGCTGAGAATTAATTTGTACATCTAATATATTTATCATTATGTGAATTAACTATCAGTTACATGGTGGAAGTATACAAGATGAACCATTGCGCATAATGGTGGAGACCCGAGATCTCAACCAATCAGAGATTGTGCAATTCGTCCGGCGCGAGTACGAAGCTCATATAGTAAAATAAACATGAAGAAATAATATATCTATAAATAACATTATATTTCCTGAATTATCATTCTTTTCTTATGCATTTGAGGAAAAAAGGTTTACATATAAGGAAACTTGTAAAGATCTTGTTCTATTCAATAGTACATTTTCCAGGAAAAACAGGGTGTCTACGGATTTGGACGGAGAAACCCGTCCTTTGATATTCCCTGATTGTAAAAGTTCCTTGACTTTTTCGTAGTCTTTTCCTTTCCTATTTCTTCTCATAATTATTAAAGAATCTTTTTCAAGACAAAATGAATACCAAGTAAATGTAATATTAAAAACTTATATGTAATACAATGATCTTCATTAAAATAAAAAATTTAGGAAATATAATGTTTTTTATAGTCGATAATATTCATACTGAACATGTTTTGAAGTATGTTTACAGGCTTCCAGCCACTGCTTCCTCAGTTCCGGCTTTTGGGGGAAAGAAAACATATTTATTTTCTCTTTGCCGCGACCACTCTTATTTTTACAATTGATCATACAGTACGTCGGCATAATGCAATCGAAATTGTCGTATAAACACACAAAATATCTTGACTGTGCATTAATGCTCATGTCATGCGACGATGCGACTGACTGCTCCGTTGGCCATTTTGAATCAGACAAATTGCCTAAACTCTGATTGGCTGACATACCCCCGCTCCTCTCAATCCACTGCGCATCCACCGGAATGGTTCACCTTGTATACTTACACCATGATCAGTTAGAAGATTGTATGCCGTTATAAGATGGCTATGTTGCATGTAACAGAAGGATACAAAAAACCATTAAATATTCATATAAATAGTCATATACTGATTAAAATTTAAAAAAGCCTTAGTGAATATTGGTTGAAAACTCAATCGTTTTTAAAACAAATAACTTTGTTTATTAACATCATAATTGACTTATTGGTTTCTACATGTCATATGCTATTATGCAGATTTATCTCAATGTTTACAAACCACTGTTCTGACTGTTCCAATTTTCACATATTACTTTATAATAAAAAATTTCTCCGAGAATTAGTAAATTGACATCTACTAATCATTACAATTGGATGGGCATTATGAGAGATCATCTTATTGAGATTGTAATTCTTTTAAATAGGCTACTTATCTTAATTTCTTCTTTTTCATATCGCATGCAACACGTAGAAAAGACAATAAGTTAGTTATGACAATAAATTAGTTACTTAGAAAATTGTTTATATCTTAAAAATGATTGAGTTTTTTTACTCATTGTTAGTATTATATAATGTATATTTACCGTATAAGTATTGAATGGATTTTTTAACGTGTGTCTCTCTCTCTCTCTCTCTCTCTCTCTCTCTCTCTCTCTCTCTCTCTCTCTCTC